AAATTCTCAAATTGAAATTAATTAATTTTAATAATTGAAATAAATTAAATATTATTAAATATCATAATAATGAAAATGGTTATCCATAAGAAGATAAATTAAATCTTTAGGTAACCGTTTGATCTTTATATTTAATAATTTTAAATCATAATCAATGAATAAGTATAAAAAAATATAAAATTTTAATTTTAAATTAAATTTGACTGTTATATTTAATTTCTATATATATCATTTGTTTTAAAAGTTAATTAGAACTTTTTACCTCTTTAATCTTTTCTTCATATTAAAACATTTCTCCTTATGCTTTTTTAAAATTTTATGAGTTTAAAGTCTAAATCTTCACAATTACATAAGGACTTGCAATATGAAACAGACAAATATTAGTGTTTAAAATATTATAAAAATATTTTTTATATTAACATATCAAATTATATTTATTTATTAGCATTCTATATTCTAATTATATGATTATTCAAAATTTTAAGATTAGAAAAGAAGTTTCAATATTTTTAAAATTTTTTCTAATAACATTCAATTACAAACGCAGAGAACAATACTTCTTAATAGAAAAATTTAATCATTTTGTAGACTTATAATTAGTTCTTAAGATATAAATCAAAATACGGATATCATATCTAAAAAAGTTAAATAAATAAAATATATATTTTTATTAATATAACTATTTATTATTTTATATTCTTAAAATTTTATTTTTTTTAATTTAAAAATTAATATTTAAATCAGGTTCATTGATTATTGGTTTTTTTTTTAGAATTAACTATCGAGTAACAGACATTACACCACACAATACGGAGACGTCACACAAAATATATTTAAAAACAATTATCAGATCTAAAATATACTCATAGATCTGCATCAAAATGTTTAGAATATATCTATTTTTTATGACGTTATAATATTTTAATGTGGTTATATTGAAGTTATATTTATATATATTTAAAATAATTATGGACCTTGTAACACCTTAAATTTAATTTCAATTAAATGATAATTTTACAAATTCAAATAACCAAAACTTCATAAGATATTTCGAAATAAGAGAAGGGTTACAAATTAATATCAAATAACTGCTCCAGGACTAGTTCCATTATAACATTTTTAAAATAAAATCTAAATTCTATAGCAGTCCATCCGTCCTTTCACTGAGTCCGGTGCTGATCGTCTTGATTACCTGAAAAATGAATGTAAAGGTGAGTACTCTACACAACTCAAAACACAACAAGCCTAGAGTTTCACCTTGCCTCTATTTTACTCAAAGTAAACATAAACAACATTTCATACATTTCAATTTAACTTGACACCGATGCACTCATAGCACCAATCAATCATGCACACTCGTGCGCTCAAGGTGCGTCGCCACGCTTACCGTGACACTGTGATTACAGATTTTTACTTGGATGGTCGTTGGTTACCCTCGCCTCACGGATACTACGTGGGTAGTCACGGGTCGCTCAACAAAGGTAGTGGTCAGAGGTCTAGTCAGGAAGAGAGTGTGTGGCCTGTGGTACACCCGTTCCATAGTCGGTGTTACCACCATTATCTCCTCCCCAAGGTATTTCTACCATCCTCATCTTTCAAACCCTCAATGTATCACTGAACCATTCACAACACATTATAACGGCTCTACACGCCCAATTCACATACGCAATATTCATGCTTGCACATGACACACAGCCTATATTCAATTCACATTACACTATACAAAGCCCATATTTTATCCGCAATATCATTAATTTACCAATCAATGGCATCCATCACACACAATCACCCTTATGGGGCCTAACTATTCCAGCACACATCACATTGCATACCAATTTCCATCAAACACAATTTCTATTCCCTATCTCGCCACATTGCATTAATCAACAAAACACACAAGAATTGCAACACATTGAGATAGGGTAAAGTCCTCCCTTACCATGGATTGAAGACTCACACTCGAACTCAACCTCGGATGTGCTCCCCACACAGATCTCAGCTTAAACACATGGAGAAACTTCATGAAAATCTCATAAATCACCAAAAACAAAGAAAAAAAGAGGAAAAACAAAAATTCTAACCTTTTAAAACTCATATCCAAGCGTTCTCCACACGGATTCAACCTTCAATCTAGCTTCTGAACGGCTTTGGAGGTAATTTAATCGGTGGAAAATGGTCTGGGATGAGAGGATCCAAGGAACTTCGAAGGGAATGAGAGAGATAACCTTCTTCGAACCCTAACCCCCTTTAAATCCTTTCTGGTCACGACACTCTCGCTACAGAGACACGCTTTCACGCTGCAGCGAAAAACTCAGAGGAATCTGCACTCTAGTTTCTGCAGAATCTTGCTACAGCAAGACCCTCTCGCTACAGCGAGAATGCACCCATAAATACACCCCAAACTGTCGCTCTGTCGCTACAACGAGACATCTCTCGCTACAGCAAGAAGGTGACAATTTTGGTCCTTCGTACTAGGGCCCTCTCGCTAAAGCGAAGACAGCCCAGTATGACACCCTTAACCTGTTGCATGAGAAAATCCAATCCAATCAATCATACACCCACGCATACATATATATATACACATATTCATACTCATTATACACAAAACACCATCATTACGCCTTCAATGCAAAATTACAATATCCATTTACACTTATACGCACATATATATGCATTTATACTTATATAAATAATAATAATTAATATCACAAAATTTGGGGCATTACAGACCTAATAATAATATATATATTTTATTTATTTTTAATTTTATCTACATGTTTTCCTTCATCTAGCATGTTAAATTTATTTTTTAAATTTTATTTAAATTAATATTTTTTATTTTAATAAACTGTTTAAAAATATTATGATACCATTAATAAATCTTATTAATTATTTTAAAAATAAAAAACAAATACATAAAAAATTAATAAATTTATTATTTTAATTTTATGGCTATAACTTTGTTATACTTAATTAATTATTTAATAAAAATAATTTTTTTATAATTTTAATCAATATTAATTCTATTAAGTTATCAAACAATATAGAATAATTTAATCACTTAAAAAAAACTCAAATTCTATATTTTTTTATTTTTTATTTTTATCAACAACTAAACTTATAAATGAAAAATATATATTACATTATTATTAGTTTTTATTTACAATATTTTGTATAGTTTATGTAACAAAAAATAATATATTTTTATTTCTAGGTATTAACATATAGTTTTGTATATATTTATATTAAAATTATATTTTTAAAAGTTTATATATTAATTAAATAAATATATTTTTATTTTTATATATATTAGTCAAATAATTTATTTAAAAAAAATATTTTTATCATTCTTTTATAATAATATCATAAAAAATTTATTAGCAATTTTAAATTATAATTATAAATAAATAATTTATCATATAAATTTACGTTAATGAATATAAACAAATGAATAAGTTAGAAGCTATAGGATATTTTATTTAAACTTTATAACTCATTCAAATTTTTTTTTATATTTAATAAATTATTGTTATAATTATTTGTTTTAAAATTTTATAATAATGAATAGTTTTATGAAATCATGAAACAATATAAATTTTATTTTTAAATTTTAAAAAATTTATACTATTTAAAATTAATTTTATAATTTTATCATAAATATTTTTTTTGTTTATCAAATATTCTAAATTAATATAATTAACTCTAAAAAGTGCTAAATTATACACATTTTAATTTTACAATACTGTTATAATATTATGATTTTTTTGCAAATAAATTTGTATATACAACAATAACAAAATTAAAATATTTTAATTTACATACATTACCATATAATTTTTTTTTATATATGTATGCTGAAATTATTATTATTACCATTTTTAATAAAAAATTTTACTTAGCACAGTGATAAACAATTTTCTTTATTTATATTTTACTCAATCAATATGTTTATTCTAATTTAGCATTTTAATTTTATTTATTTTTATCTATTAATAAATAATTAAAATTAAAAAAAATTAAAAATATGTATTATATTATTATCAATTTAATATGTATCATAATTTTGTAAATTAATTTATTTTTTATAATCATAAAAAATAGAAATAGTTGTTAATATTATCATTAATTGTTTTAAAAATTTAGAGAATTTTAGAAATTTTTAACCATGTTATATTTATATATATTTTTTAAAATTTATTATAATTATTATCGTATGAAATTTTTTTATATTTTATTTGAAAATAATTAATAATATATATCACAATATATATATATATATATATATATTAAAAATTTACTTATTTATTAATATTTTTTTAAGATTCAATATATTTAATATAATGGTATATATCAAAATATATAATTTTTTTACTATATTTATATATGCTTTATATTTAAATTATATTTTTATTTAATAAAAATAAAACAAATTCATGCACGAACATATTTATTAGTTTAATATATATTATAAAAAGTCAAATAAAAAAATTGAATAAATTAAAAACTGAAAATTTGATTTTTTTTAAAAGAAATGATTTATATGAATTCTCAAGTCTGATTTTAGAAGTTGACCCAATTTTTTTCTTTTTTTTTCCTAAGCTTGACCTAATTTTAAATGAACCGAATTTATTTGGTTATAATTTTATTTATTAAACTATTGTACTTTAAAATATATTAGTCTCGATTAATAATTTATATTCATAATTTATGAGAATTTTTCATAGTTTGATTATATTATTTTATTATATATTTTATAATTTATTTATTGTCTGTTTAAAGAAATAAAAAAAAATCAATTCTTTTTTAATTAACACATCAGTCATATTTTTTGTTAACAGTGCATAGCTAAAGAGTAAAAATAATCCAAAAATCAGGACCAAGTGATCTCATCCATCGTTTATTTTTTGACAATACGAATCAGTTGTATTCTAATGGATTATGGGCCACGTGACCTAGAGCCCAATTGCTATAGCCGCCGCCTAGAACAACAGTGAGTGAGTATAGAAAATTCCCAATTTCTAAAATTGCTGCAATATTCAATCACAAACAAAAACCCTAACCCGAGCAATCAGAAGCATAGAAAAATGACGCAGAAGGCGAATCTCTTCAAAGGTAAAGTAAAGAAGAAATCAATTCCTCCCAATCGTCATGGGAAAGCCCCTGTTACTCGCAAAGGTAGTTCCTTTTCCCATTAAAGATTTTCTTCGAGTGCAAGATCTTCTCTACTAATGTGTTACCCTTTCTCTCCGCAGGAAAGAGATTCGTGAAGCCATCCAAGGTTACCAAGGATATGGACACTGATCGTGTAAGCCCCTTTCGTTTTTCTCTAATTCTCACTCGCTTTCATTCCTTTTGGGCTGTGTTTGCTCTGAAATGGATTTCTTTTTTATGCTGGCGAATGGAGATGTTTAATACCAAATTATGATTATTGAATGGACAAGGTTTCGTTATTTTTTCTAATTTGGTTTTCCTAATGGTTCTATTTTTCTCAAAGAACAATAAAATAGTAAAATCAGACTTGATAAATGTTTTTATTTGGAAATTTGTCGCATCCAAGTATGCAAAGTGATACGTTTACCACTTTTTTTTTTCAGTTTTTTATAGCACATTTTCAAAAACAAATGATAATTTCTCCTTAATAAATCTTTGCTTCTCATAAATAAAGCAATACCGAACACAAAGTCATGTGAGTCGTGTTTATATTCTTCAACATTGTTATAGATATTTGAAATAATGTTTGTTTTTAACCAGGAGGTGAGCAAGTTCATTAATCACTGCAATGAGATTAAAGCAGCGACTCTGGCTACGAAGGATGGTGGCCAACTGGGCATCATTAAGCCACCAGAGTCAGCAAGTGGTGCAAATAAATAGTTGATGATGTGAGGAATAGGGATGGTTACGGTAGCTAAATTATATTATGATGGTGCGTTGTGTTAGAGCCATTGTTGTAAATTGTAAAAGCAATTTTGATAACCCCGTTTTTCTTTTCCTTGCTATAGTGTTTTGGTGGGTGTGCATTGGTTTGAATTGCTCATCTTCTTTCCATTGGATATTGGGATACTCAATTTTGATCTGTAGTTGTCATACCCTATTTCTGAAGAATATAGCAAGTGCACTTTTACCAACAAATAGGCGATTGCTACCCCGGCCTTTTTCTATTTGACAAATGGCTGGATTTTCCTGCATACAATGAAGTCAAGAAGTAGCAACCTTTCCTTAGACATCCTTTATTGAATTATGTCCAGCACATCATGGTGAATTTTATGAATTATTATACTAATGCATGTTACACCAGTTTGTTTGGATCTAATTCTAGCCATTCGTTCTATACGCAAAGGATTTAGACTATTATTCTCGTACTTGGGATATTTTTCTATTGACAAAGAGTCAAGGCTTACCTGTCTAATGCAAGCATCAATTCTTGTATACATAAACTCCTAAGATGGTAAATTTAAGACATTTTAGTCTTTAAAATTTTTAAAATGTTGACTTTGTAAAATAAGATGATATTTTTTTTTATTTCATTTTAATTCTTGAAATTACTGTTAAGTATTTTAATCTTTCATTTATAAAACTTTTCAGTTATTCATCCTTTTTTATTCTTTTACTAGAAACTATCATTGTTGACTATTTTTTGTGTTCTTCATTAGCAATAAATTGTGATCCAAAAATGCCAAGATAACTTCTTTTAATTATAATATCTGAAAAACAAAGTTGTAAACTATTTGATGCTAGAAGCTGAAGAGATGAAAAATTGGGATAAGTGGAAGAGATGTTAAGGAGAAGGTGATAAGGTTGAACAAGTGCTAGATGGCAATGACTTGTTACAAGTAAAGAATGCAAATAATGGTTAACGATGAGAGTTTCTAGTAAAAGATAGGAGTGAAAGTAGGTTGGGCTGCATGTTGAGAGCCTACGGCCTGGCTTGACTCATTTAGTAAATTATATTATTTTATATTTATTTTTATGAAATGTTCGATTTATCTTATGTTTAAAATTCAAAACCTTAATTCACTTATACTTTCGGTTATTCATGTATGCGGCCAATAGCCATATCCGACAAAATGTTTATGCTCTTCACTTCAGAGTTTAGACTGAACTGAACAACTCTATCAAACTTATAATATCCTAAAATTTCATTACTTCTGAATTAATTAGTAATCATATTTAAATTAGAATTAGATCATATATAAAATTTTAGAAACTAAAACACATTTCGCAAAATTTATCCAAAAAAGAGGTTAATTAAAGAAAAATTGGGGAGAGTTTACTTATAGTTATAGTTTTTTTTTTTTTTTTTACTTTACCATGGGACCTTAACAAGGAAAGTCAAGAATATCATTAGTAAGAGTAGTTGATATTAACTTCTCCAGCATGCAAAGTATTTTTTTTTTTTTTTTGTCTTTTTTGGCTTGTTGTTACTTGTCGAATTGAAACTCGATAATTAGAATATTTGCCAACATTATCTATTTAATGGGAGGAAATAAAAATAGAAAATTAAATATAAGTTAAAATTTTGGCAAAAAAAAAGGGACCAAAATACCTTTAGAATAGGCTTAGAATAATGACCAAATTTGAATAAGAAAATGATTATGAAATTTTTTAAATTCTTATGGCAAATTATTGGGCCAAATGAAGTTATAGTTGTTTAATAACAAGGTCCAAATCTCAAATAGAAATTCAAACTAAAATTTTCAAATTCAGCACTCTAAGGAGCATAAAAGGATAAAACAAATTAGACAAAACTTCTAATTTTTTGATTCTATCTTACTCAACCCAATTGACATGATTTTTGGTATGAAATGGATCCTAATTTGTCAATAATTAAGTAAGGGATCAGCTGAAGTGAAGTGGACTAATAGGAAAAGAATTTGGTTTACTAAAACTCATTGAAAATAACATTGAGTCGATGATCTAATCTCCTAACCAAGAGGCCTAACCAAACCAAAACAAACCAAATTCAGCCAACAAATAGTGTCATATGAGGAGAAAAACCTGGAGCGAATTACCAAGAATTAAAGATAAACTAAGCAAGTAAACTTAGACAATCTAGATGACATAACGGTCAAATTTTCTACATTGAGCATGATTTTTGGGGATAACTTTTCATAAGGATAAAAGCTGAATTTGGGAGAGACTTCAAAAGCACAATTACTCTAATTAGACCCCTCTAACTGATCATAAACTTCTTGCCCTATAAAAGCCAAGAAAAAAAATTGAAAAACATCCACCAAGACAAGGCCATATTCACGTGTAAAATGAAGCAACATTTGAATACTTAGCCAAAAATTATAAATCTAGCCAAACCAAACTCTTTTAAATACTTGACCCCATCTAACACATACAAAAAATAAATCTCACCATTCAGCCATGTTATCCTCCATGCTAGCAAAGTAGGGAAAACCCTAAAAACCCCAATAACCCCACCATCAAAACTAAGCAAAAGAACTTCAACTTTTGAGAATCTTTTTGGGCACACTCAAAGCTGACTTGGAAGGGAAAGAAAGTGGTTCAAATCAGACCAAGAAAGAGAGGAGGGAGAGGAGATCAATACATACTTGCAATCGCACCAAAAAGACAAGACAAAATCAAGTAAGGGAGGAGAGTATTATAATTCATAAATTAGGGAAAATACTTTTGCTAATTAATTTTTGAGTTAAGAAGAACCCTTAACCCTTTACATTGAATGAAAATTTCATGGGTTTAGTTGATACATGAAAATAAAATTGATTGTGATAAGAAAATTCAAGGAAATTATTAGAAATAGTTAAAACAGAAAATTCTACAGATAAATCTTAATAAACTATAAATAGATATTTTGAGGAGATTTTGTTGATGAATTTTTTTTCTATGTTATTATCATGATATTATGATGATTATATATGAATTCATGTGGTAGAATTATTTGAACATGGCTAAATGATTTAAATAATATTAATTTTAAAAAAATTACCAAAATAAAATAAAATAAAAAGTTATTCCCTGTCTGAAGAGAGATGAAACACTCTATAAGACGACATGTGTCAAAGATTTCGTATAAATGAGAGACGAAACTATGGCCACGTGTCAACATTTCAGTAATTCATCTCAAAATAGGACGAAACCATTGGATGTCGACACGTATTTGCATCTTGTTAATTTTGTCCACGTGTAAGACGAAATGCATAAGGTTTCGCTTATATTTCAGACGAAACCATTATTGCCCGCTGGTCAACTCCCTTTCGCTGCCCTCTTTTATCCAGCACAAATGAAGTATAAAATGTTACATTTGCAGAACCAAATCATGCTAGCACATTGAAAGAAGAAGAGAAACATTGCTAGGAAATATTGCTGCACTTTTAAAGATTGGAAGAAATTTTAATATTAGTCAATTTTTAATATTTTTTTACTATTTTTGTTATTGATAAATTATTAAAATGGAAATGTTTTAATTATTTAAAATAATAGAGGTAGTTAAAATTTATAAATATTTAATAAATATTTTTTTTGTATGTCAAAATTAAAAATTAATTTTTTAAATATTATTAAATAAATTATAGAAGTTAGTAGATATTTAATATTAACTTGTTTAATAAAAAAGATAATGTTATATTTGTTGAGAATATTTATTTTATATATGTGGAAAAATATTATATTTTTTGTAATATAAAATGATGTGAAACATAATAGTATGTTTGTATGTGTTAATAATAATTTATTTTTATTATTTATATAAATAAGTATAATTGTAAATTTTTATTGATATGTTTTTTCTTATAAATGCAGGATGAGTGAGATTATTATTATTGTATATTGGAATAGAAAAATTATTGTTGAAAACGAAGATGTGACATTTGAAGGTAACAAAAAAATGATAAAGATAAAAAGAAGGATAAGTTTTATGAATTTAAAGAAAAAGATTCATGACAAATTGAATCTTAATAATAATCATGTCATATCTAGAATTATTTCTTGGTTTATGGTTGATTCAACCGCTAAACAATACAATGCATTGGATATATGTGATGATGAAGACATTGATTGTATGATTAGTGCGTATCAACAACAAAATATTACAACTATTATTGAATTATATGTGGATATTGCATTTGATGAGAGTTCAAGAGTTAGGTCAAATATGTTGGACTTAAGCTTATCAATGTCACTGCCTAACCTCATGGAAATAGTGAATATAAATATTACAGAAGGTATAAATTATACTATTTCTCCTTAATTTTAATTTATTTTTAGTGACAACACATATTGAATAAGTGTATGTATTTTGAAGGATATGGAGATTTATACAGCTATGACCACAAAGATGAAGAAGTCAATAATGAGGATGATGATGATAATATTGATGAAGGACATATTCCGTTAGACAACTCGTCAGATATAGACGTCGATGGTGATTTTGATTCAAACTTAAACTTACAACAAGAAAATATTGGAGGTAACATTTAAAGAGTATATTGATTATATTGTTTATTTTATTTTTAATGATGAATAATTTATCTCAATATGTAGTTGTAGGTGAAATACCTTTTTGGAATGTTAATCCATACTATAATTATATTAATTGGGACCACCCAAACCAAGAAATTGAAGCAGAAAAAATTAGTGAAGATATTTCATGGATTATTGGAGGTCCGTTACGTGTGGGTTTATTATTTAACTCGAAAAGACGGAGGGAAAAATGCCTTAAAACAACATGCAATGAGGATACATTAGAATTATTTTGTTGTTGAGTCAAAATCAACAAAGTTGCATATGAGGTGTTTAAACCATAACAATGGTTGCCCATGGAGAATAAGAGCATCATTGCTTAAAAATTTAATAAAGTGAAAAATAACAAGGTGTGGGGTAAGCATACATGTCTTAACCTTTCAATATCTCAAGATCATACCAAACTAGATTCAAATTTGATTTGTTCATGCATAATTGGTAAGTTTTGTATAATATCTATTTTTGTGAAGCCTTTTCTCAATAAACGTACTTAGTTCTTTTGTTATGTTTTGTGTAGGTATGGTTAATCTTGAACCATCATTGCCTATAAGTCTAATTCAAGAAAGGATGACAAGTCAATTTGGATATAAAATTTCATACAAAAAAGCATGGAAGGCGAAACAAAAGACGATTGT